AAGTTTTTTGTATTTAAATTTTAAAATGTAATAGTACAAAAAATTATACTGACAATCTTTCTTCTAAAAATTAAGTTTGATATTTCCGGAAAATATTATTTGCTATAAAATGTTGTCTTGCATCTTTTTAGTAAAATAAACTCAATGCTAGCAGATTTTAGATTGTAAAAATATTATTTGCTATAAAATGTTGTCTTGCATGAAAAATCTTTTTATTAAAATAAACTCAATGCTAGCAGATTTTAGATTGTAAAAATAATTACTTTATTGTAAAAAATCTTTTAATGGAATATGAACGGAATAATTAAATAGCATTATATAAGTTACTTAATTAAAAATAAGTAAAGGTTTTGATTTAAATAAATAGGCATCTTTAAATAAATTCCAATTGGACAAAATATAAAAACAACAATATTTTTCTTTGTAAATATCAATAAATGTATATCAATAAATAATATAGGTACAGTGGTGGACACGGAATTTCGAACATCAAAACTTGGTTTTCCTTGTGTGATTCTCTTAATATCAAAGATAAAATAATGACCATATTTGCTTTCGATGTTAAAATGACAGGCAGTTTAGATTCTGATGTCAACGGAATAATAGTCGTTCGAGATTTCGTGTCCACCACTGTACCAATAAAAAAATAATCAAAGAATTCTTACTTGCCAGGTTCCATAACCAATTACAGGGATGTTATGGTTATCACTTAACTTGACAAAATTAACCATTTTAACTATATTTTATTTATTATCAACGACAATCCAACTAAGTATTATTTACTGTTTAACTGATTTTACAAAACTGACCGAGTCGGACAGTTATAACAGTGTACTACAATGAAGGGAACCTTGAAAATGAACTTGTTTCTTTATTGCAAGAAAATAATAGGAAATAAATATTCATTTATTTATGACACTAATTGACCGTTAACGATTGAAGAAAACAACGAAATTAAGGGGTTTACAATAAAAAAGATAATCATTTATATAAAAAATGCTACTACTTTATGAGATATCAGATTCCGAAACTATTTAGAAATTTTTTAGGGACGGACTTTAATGTTTAATGTTTATGTAACATTTTTTAAATATTTTAAGGAGTTCTACCACCTGACAAATTTTCCGAACACCCCTCCTTAACACCTTATAGAGTGTTACATATTGCTTAAGGTAGGTAGTATCTCCATTGTAAGAGCTTTAATAGAATGTCTTCAAAATATAATGAGACATCACACACATTCACAAATAATTTCAAATTTTTTTTATAGCAAAGATTTCAAGAAAATAATTTTTAAAGTTTGTTTTCATACTCTATTTTGGATCTCACAAGATCGCTCATGAGATTTCCATAAAAAACCTAAAATAATCAATTTTTAAGCTATCAACATGAACCTATTTTGTATCTCGAGTTTGGAAACGAACTTTTAAAATAATCTATGGGAAATAACACTTTTGCACAAGTGTTATTTTCCATACCTAGATTCTTTTAAAAATTCGTTTTTAAACTCGAGCAACAAATGATTGAATTACAGTTTAATTTGTTTTATAAAAATCTCAAAACACAATTTTGTTTAGCACTTTTTAAAATTGTCATTTTAAATTTCGTGCTACCAACTTAAGAAACATATGGAACGCCGTTTTGCTATTTAACATTCTCTGAAATAAATATTTTATTTCAGTTTTCGGTTTTTATTTTACTTTATATTTTGCAACGACTGATATTTATGTTAATTTAAATGACAATTGAAATATTAAAAACAATACATACTATTTTCTTTAAGTTTAATTCTAAAGAAACAATCGCGGAATATATTATATTATATTTATTATTGCAATACTCATGTATATTGTACAAAATATTTTCTATGCTTTAAAATTTTATTTTTGCAATAGTTTTAAATTTTAAAAACATGCATGTAAATATTATTAATTTTCAATAATGTGTACAAAATTATAATTGGTGTGTATTGCAGAAATTAATTTTTGCAATTGTCATGTATTTTAACAATGTATTTTTGCAAATTGTCGCGTATTGTAGGAATGAATTTTTGCGATTGTCGTATATTAAAATTAAATTATTGCCTGTTGCATTAATTCATTTTAACAATAATTACAATACAGGAGAATTAAATTATTTAATTCTCGTGTATTGTAAAAATGGTGGTAGAACTGTTGCGTTAAATAAAATCCCTAAAAATTCCCCAACCGATACCTTTAATTAGACAACCTAGATTACACTTGACCGTAGATATTTTTTTTGAATTTAAATTAAATATATATATTTAATTTAAATTCAAAAAAAATATCTATAGTCTATTTTTTATTAAATGCATGTACACAAAATAGATTTTCTTTAGAGAGTAAAACAATAGACTTTACTTAATTTAAATTCATAAGAAATATGTATTGGGCCAGGTGTAATCTGTGTTGTCTACATAGTTAAAGGTATCGGTTGGGGAATTTTTAGGGATTTTATTTAACGCAACAGTTCTACCACCATTTTTACAATACACGAGAATTAAATAATTTAAATGTCTTGTATTGCACTTATCGTAAAAATGAATTACGGCAATAGGCAATAATTAAATTTTAATACTCGTTTAATACTATCGCTAACAAAAAAAACTCATACAGCTATATTGTGGTTGTGTGAATAAAACTTTTCCGTCAATGTCAAGCTGACATCGAGCTTTGTCACATCCATTATGACTTTTTTAACAACATTTTCAACCAAACAATGCAGACAAACTCTGGCAAGCCATTGAAGCCATTTGGAACGAGATAAAGCAAGACGGCGACTTCCATGCTTTGCCGTTTGCGGGCAGTAATTGACAAAAACAGAGGGATGACGAAATATTAATTTTTTTTTCAAACTTAACCTAACTTTGTATTTAATTTTAGACCTTTCAAATGTGACGTATCATGTTAAAAGCCATAATTACTACAACGAAATGATAAAAAATCAGGAACACTAGATTTTTAAGCTGTATGAGTTTTTTTTGTTAGCGATAGTACAAGACAATTGCAAAAATTCAATCCTACAATAAGCGACAATTACAATAATGTATTTCTACAATACATGACAATTGCAAAAATTCATTTCTGCAATACACACCAATTAAAAAAAAGCCCAGCCCATTGTAAGAATTTATTTTTGCAATAAGCGATTGTTACCAAAAAAGTTATGAGTTGTTCTTTAAATTTTATTTAATTTTTGTATTAGTGAACACATTTATTTCTATTGAATTATATAATATAATTATATTTTTTATATTTTTTAAATTTGATGCAAAATCCCGCTTTAATTTGCTATTAATATAAACAGTACCTACTTTTAATGTAACTTACAGTGGAATATTATTAAATAGTAATTTGGCGCGTGTTTTAGGTACGCCGTTTTACTTTTTATTAAATTAATATGCTAGTTACATTAAATAGTAAAACGGCGCGCCATAGAAACACCAAACTATGACAGTTTTTAACCTTTATTTTGCCTTTATAATAAAAAATTATTAATTTATATTGTTACTTATATACTTTTTTCTACTCCCACCTTTAAAACGCCCATACCACTGGTCTGCAACGAAATCCTCCTTCAAAAAATTACATCATATACTTACCTATATGAAGATTTTTTGTATCACGTCTAGATTTTGTGATATGATTTTTTTTTCAAAATATTATAAATTTAGGTTTTTTAAATTCGTTGTATGCGTAAACTTTATTAACAGTAATATGTAGGTTTTAGCGAGTCGTAAGAGAAAAAAGGAAAGTACCGAAAGTGATTTTTATGGTAGTACATATGCGCTTGCGCAGTATTCGCTGTGACTTTACAGCATTTGAAAACTTGTCTTTTAATTGCAATTGTTTCCGTTCTATATCAAATATTTTGGGAAGTATTGTACAAAGATCATATTCTATATATTTTATGTGTAATTTATGTAAAACTTAAGCCATAGAATTTTTTCCCTTTTTTGTAATTGTTGTTACTTTAATAATATTGTTTTTTATTAAATGGACATAATATTTAAAATCTATGTGCTGTATTCATTTGCATGTTAAATTCCGTGTTTAGAGCACCAAATATGTTGTATGAAAACAATCGATAGAAAAAAAATGTTTTTTGCAGACCAGTGTTATCGTATATATACAAGTGCTCTTTTGACAAGCTATGGCTTTATGGCGCTTTAGTCTTTTTAGTCACGGGCTCGAGTTTGCTTTAAGTTAGTTGGCAGTTGTCAAATGTTATAAAATCGTTAAAATAAAGTGCCCTTCTTGTGAAATAACACTAAATGTGAACAGGGTCGGATTAATACACAAATACAAAAGTATTAAATAGTTTCTTAACCCCAATAGTTAAAAAAATTATATGAACATTGTACTGACGTTTTAATTTCGCCGGCAGTAAACTAGATTTAACTTAATTTCGGGTGGAGAATCCATCGTGGAGTGCCAATGAAACATTTTCTTGACTTTCGCTGTAAAAAAGTGCTTCTGCAGATTAAACGGTCCATTTTCAAGTGATACATTTCGATTTACACATAAAAATTGACATTTCACAATACAGATTCTCAAGTTGGTTACTCTATTGTTTTATAGATGATGCTCTATACAAATATTTAATTTTAATCATTTTTAAATAATAATAAGTATTTGTCGTAGAAAAAGTATAGTATGCAACTCGTCTATATACTTTTCTAGACACCCATTTAAGTAAGTACTCGCTCGCAAGCTCGCTCGTGCCTAAATTAATTTCGTGTCTAAAATGGCGCTTTTCAGCCTTGATACATAATATACCATTAATGTTTTTTTTTAGTTTTTAATGATGTTTTAATTAGTAATAAAGTCAAAATTTGTTAATTAAAATACACCGCTTTATTTTTTCTACATTGCAATGGCACTGCTGAATTTGATGTCACGGCCCACTGTTATTTATTTATCAAACTCTGCAAATGGAGATATCTACTACTTTAATCGAAAATTTATTTTTTAACTCACCTGCCAGGTGCCATAGCCAGGCACGGGAATTTTGTAACCATCCCTAAAAGTTCTGAAGTGCATCGCTTCAGCTTGCACCCCGAAAAACCTTGTACTCTGCAAAGCGGAATTCTTCAGCAAAAAACTCAGGGCACAGGTTTGTAGCACCTTCGAGAAAACGTCGACCGACTTGAACATATCACTAAGGGAAAGTGCAGTACGAAGCGAAAATTAAAGACTGGGTGTCCAAGAGTGGTAACATATATAAATACCGCAGCATTAAGAGGTAACCTTCTCATATGGTACTTGACCTTCACCTGGGAACCCAGCTTGTCGTGACGTGAAGAACCAAGTCTATGAATATTTATGAGATTGGTTGCTTTGTTTTGAAATATTTAAGGCTTGTATTGTTTTATTATGTCTACTAAAATCTAGATTATTGTATTCCAAGAATTATTCAATAGGAATAATAATATAATAATAATAATACTATTATTATAATATTAATAATAATAACTCAAATTTTCTTATACCCAAATCTTGAACCACCAGACTATTATTTGTTTCAGGCTCTGCAAAATGAATATGCGATGAAAAAGTCATCGATCAAAATATAGTCTTATTTAATTTATAAATATAATTATAATTATAATAATTCAGAAAATGACACTTTTTGACATTTTAAAGTTTTACTTCACTACCATAGCGTAAATTACTTTTTTCTACTAAATTTAAAAATTTGACATTTGACGGTGACATACAGATTCCCCTATTGTTTCATAGATGGCACTCTATACAAATTTTTGATTTAAATCATTTTAAGATAATAATAAGTATTTTTCGTAGAAAAAGTATAGTATGCACCTCGTTTATAAACTTTTCTATACACTCATTAATTAAATTCGTGTATAAAATGGCGTTTATCAAACTTGATACATAATATACTATTTTCTACTCCCACCTTTAAAATAAAGTGCCTTTCTTGTAAAATAATACTAAATGTGAAAATTTTATTATCTCAATACAAAAATACAAAAGTATTAAATAGTTTCTCAACGCCAATATTTGAAAACTTTATATGAACATTGTACTGACCTTTTAATTTCGCCAGCAGTAAACTATAACTTAAATTCGGACACGGACTCCACTGTAAAGTGCTCATAAAACATTTTCTTTACTTTCACTGTGAAAAACTGTCAATTTTCAAGAAATACATTTCGATTTATATCCTTTATAATCTGTGTTTATAAAATTTGACATTTGACGGTGACACACAGATCCCCCTATTGTTTCATAGGTGGCGCTCTATATATATTTTTGATTTAAATCATTTTAAGATAATAATAAGTATTTGTCGTAGAAAAAGTATAGTATGCACCTCGTTTATAAACCTTTCTATACACTCATTAATTTAAGCACTCGCTCGCAAGCTCGCTCGTGCCTAAATTAAGTTCGTGTATAAAATGGCGTTTATCAAACTTGATACATAATATACTATTATGGCGCTGCAGTATGAGGCGCCGTTTGGACCAATATAAAATTAAGTATTTATATATAAATTTTTATCTTTGATTGAAAATATTCTTGATATATAAAAGATTTTAATTGTGTGATTTAGGTTTACTTGTGATTGACATATTTTAAAGCTTTCGCAATATACCGTGTGCAATGAGGGCGCCACTTCAATGTTCGTAAACATTAATGGATGGAAATTTCTATCCTTGATTGAAAATATTCTAGATACCGTAAACACGAGTGACTTTGCACCCCGCGGGTGACTTTAGCCCTTTTATAAAAAATCTTTTCGCGCTCGATAAAATTAACATTTATAATTTGTTGGTCTAAACCTGTCAATTGAGCGATTCTATTGAGTGTATATTACAGGAAAATCAGTGTTTTAAAAAAATAAATGGGGTTTATTACACTTTAAAATTGTATATATTGCATCAGTGCAAAACTCTTAAAAATACACGCGTTTTAATTTCTATATTATGCGCAATTCATGATCCTTGGTTAACTACCCAGCTAGCAAGGTTACGTCATTAGGACGACATTTTAAGGTCACCTTTCGTCGGCGACGTCACATGACCAATAAAAGACGGGTTTATGACGTCACATTTCCGACGTCATTTAGACGTTTTTATGTTGCGTCTTTCTGACGTTTTCAATAGGTGATTTTATATCACGTAATAAATATATAATAATACGTATAATATAGTAGGTATAGATCGTACTACCTAATTTTTGAACACCCTGTAGATAAAATCCCAATTTTTTTGTAGATCAAAACTTATTTTTTTATCAGAAAAAAAAAATCCCTATCATCGATGACACGCAAATCCGTCTATGAACAAATAATTATCCTACAGGACAATAACGAAATACTATTTTAAACAAAATATTTTTTAATTCTAAATTTAGTTTTACAATTTCATTGCTGTCAATACCTATATAGGTATTTATATTATTCCGAATAAAAAAACAGACAATAATTCGTGGAACTTGTGAAGTGTCGATACATGGCGGGAAGTAAAGAACGCCGTGCTCGATACCACCAATCACAGACTGTGATTCAGTCAGCTGACTACTGTGAGATCAGCTGACTTTAGTGGCAGGCTGCGATTGCTTGATCATTTGTAACCGTCCATTTTTGCAACGGTGCACTACCGCGGTGGCGTTCATTCTGTTATTCGGTTAAATTAAGTTACTTAATAACTGTTGTGCAAATCTACAATTAAGTGCAGTAACTGCGGATCAATAGGTAGGTTTTACATAATTATTAAATCATTCTTAATTTATTTACCTATACCTATACTAGGTGTTTAAAAGATGTACGCCGTAGTTGAGTTTGCACACGACGGTGACGGGGGAATTTCCGCTATCAATACAAAGTGGCTAACTCCTCGCAAAAAATAAGTTTACTGGCCACCTTATAAACAACAGTGCAAATACGACAAGGTGCTTTATCACGCATGATAGCTCGAGCTATACATAATGTTCGATTTATGGGATAGGTCTACTCTATTAAGTTTATTTATTTATTTATATTTTATAATATATGACATTTATAATATATTTCCTTGTTTTATTTATTACAATAAATGACAAATCTTGTACGTCTTTAAGACGTCAGTACTTACGTCATATAGACGTCTTCAAATGACGTTATTTGTACGTCCTAATATGACGTCAACGGTCTGTGACATTTGCCCGTTTCAAAGACGTGATTTTGACGTGATGTTAAGGGTGAATATGACGTAACTTGTGACCAAAAAATGCCGTGATTTTGACGTCACCATGTTTGCTGGGTACAGGTCGATTTTTTATTGTTTTTATCGGTAATCCCTTGCAATTGCTATATGTCGATGCTAACATATGTCTAATAAAAATAAAATAAAATATTGAGTTAATTTTATACGGAAAATACACTGTGAGACAAAGTAACCCGCAACCAGGGGGTAACTTTGCACACCCAGTTTTTAATTTTTATTTTTGAAACTCAGCCCTATGTAAGATTATAACATAGTTATTATGAAAGAGCAACTCAAGACTTAAATTTTGGTATACACTATTTAATGTTTATGATTGTTAAAACTACAAAAATGTTAAGATTAAGTTTGAAAGTGAGCTAAAGCCACCCGTGTTTACGGTACCTATATAATTGTAATTTTGTGATTTAAGTTCGCTTGTAAATGATTTATTTTAAAGTTTCCACAATATACCGTGTGCAGTGAGGGCACCACTTTGATGTTCGTAAACATTTTTGACATAATTGTTATTTAACATTGCCCGTATTTTTATTAAACTTAACATTTATTTATACTTTAAAATATTAAAATAGCTGTAAAATATTATTAATTATAGCAATAAAAAACCCAAAAAGTAAAATATTTTCTTAACATAATAATATTTTGAAGTTATTTTAATATTTTAAAGTATCAATAAATGTTAAGTTTAATAAAATAAATAACGGGAAATGTTAAATGACAATTATTTCAAAAATGTTTACGAACATAAAAAGTGACGTCCTCACTGCACACGGTGTATTGTGGAAGCTTTAAAATAAATCATTTGCAAGCCAACTTATATCACATAATTAAAATCTTTTATATATGGGTGATTCTCCCAAAATGATCATTTTGCCAAGTAGAAAATTTTCAGAACAAAAATTGTTTATTTTTTCTGGATAATACTCTGACTGGCTTTAGTTTAAGTTATTATAATATAAGTACCCAGTGAACAAACACATTTTTTAATTTTAAGAGATTTATCGCATTTAAAACAAATAGTACTGCCAGAGGAATGATCATGTGGACAGAGGAATGACGCAAGCTTTTTGTTAAAGATAATTTATGTATTGGTATTATTAATTTATAAAAAAACATATTCTTTGTATTACAAGTAATATTAAAAACTTAAACATTTTTTGACAATTTGCCCGTTCCTTGCTCAAAAACATCAATATCTTTTTCAAACTGATAATACTGTATGCATTTATGAGAAATTATAATTGGTGAGGGCAATATGGATGTAATATCTTCATATCTCACATAGGAAATGTCGTTTTCATCTATTTTAAAGACCTGTTTCTTATTTAGTTTGCAAACTCTTAGATACATAACTCGTACCTCACCGTCTTCTTCTATATCATTCTGCGCAACAGCAACATATCTGTAGCAAATTTTTTTTGTTTTCAATTGAACCAATAAATATGTTCCAGTTCTAATATTTTGGCAACTCAGCTCCCCCTTGTTTTTGACACTTGGACCAGCTTCTTCATCATCTGAATAAACGTCAATAAAATTAAGCTTTATATGAGGAATTTCTTTTTGGGTCACAGATTTTTGTGTTGTAAGTGGCATGTCTTCATCGAATGAGGATGTATTTGAAGCTTCACCTAGAGGTGATATACTTGTCGACTTGTAGATCAGTGAACCAAGATATAACGCAGAGTCATTTTCTCCCAAAGAACTTAGTGAATAAAAATTAAGCTGTACAGCGGATTTTTGAGACAAGTCTTTTTTTACCTGATGGACTTTCATAGTTCCTTTGAAATTTGGACATTCTTTGTTCTCTAGCCGTTCTGATAGTTTGGCGATATCGCTAGAGTCAATAGTCAGGTACTTAATGCCCTTAACATTTTTAGAAAGTGCATTTACTAAGGTATCAAAAGATGCGATATCATTGCCTTGAGCTACCAGTCGATCCGCTGTTCTTTTAGTGACCCCACCAATGCCATCTGGAGCACCTTTTCCGTG